AGCAGTCGCGCTATCACGAGGGGGTTGCTTTGGCCATACTTCAGCACGTTGTTCAGTACGGGTCACTTGGTAAAGGCGGGCAGTACCGTACGGTTCTGCTGCACTGCCGTCTGCTGCCCGCAAAGTACACAATACACACAACCCCGTAAGCCTATAACACCTGTTATGCACGGCGGTCTCTCGTCCAAGCACCCACCACTATCCAGGCTCTAACCCCGCTTAGCTTGTGGCATCGGACGACACTGAGCGCATCCCCAGGTGAACGGATGCTGCAACATTTAATCAGATCGAGAGAACAAAAACGGCGTTAAAGGCGCAGCCCCGCAACAGCACCGCTCACGCCACTGCGGGTGAAACATGCGGTGTTGGCCGTTGTACAACAAGGAACACATGAAGGTTTATTAAGCACACTGTTTTAACGCATATATGATGAGCGTTGAGAATGTATGTAAATGATGATGATGATTATGATGACGGCACCATCACCTGCCCTAACAAACGAGATTAACGTCTCCCGTGTGTCGCCCTCGCAGACTGTTTGGGCAAGTGCTTGCTGCTTCTTGCTTGCTGCTATCAAGTAACAACACGCCCAGCTATAACACACAGAAAAAAAAGACAAAGATCCCCCGTATAGTCTTAACAGACTGCTGGGGCAAGCGTTGTTGGTAAGTAGCACCGATGAAGGCACGGGGAGGGGGGGAGGGGAGTGTTGGTGTGGTTGTCCAGCACCCGCTACCGTCCGCCTTTGTCTCCCCAGTAGCATTTTTTTTGTTTTACACACCGCAGCAGGTGCTAATTTTGAGGCTGAGTCGACCTAGGGGGAGGCCCAGGACCGATTCAGAGAATCGTCACCGCTGTTGGTGGCCGTGTGCGGGAATCGAACAGGGGTCAAAGCCGGGTTCGTAGCGCGCCGCTTATGAGCCAGTGCACCAGCGCTGCCCAGAAGCTCCACACAGAAACATGTGGGGGGTGGACGGGGAGCTTACGACATTATTTTCTCCACCCACCCACCCCCCCATCAAATCGCTCTCCTTCACGGCGGCAGCATGGTTTGTGTTTTTGTGCGTCTCTGTGTCTGCGTGTGCGCCTCTGTGTGTGTGCGTGTCTGTGTGTCTTGTCTGTGTGTGTGCGTCTGTGTCTGTGTATCTGTGTGTGTGTCTGTGTGTATGTGTGTGTGCGTGTCTGTGTGTCCGTCTGCGTGTGTCTGTGTGTGTCTGTCCGTGTGTGTGCGTGTGTCTCTGTGTTTGCGCGTGTACCTCTGTGTGTGTGCGCGTGTCTGTGTGTGTGTCTGCGTGTGTCTGTGCGTGTCTGTCTGTGTGTGTCTGTGCGTGTCTGTCTGTGTGTGTGTGTCTGTGTGTGTGTCTGCGTGTGTGTCTGCGTGTGTGTCTCTGTGTTTGCGCGTGTAGCTCTGTGTGTGTGCGCGTGTCTGTGTGTCCGTCTGCGTGTGTCTGTGTGTGTCTGTCTGTGCGTGTCTGTCTGTGTGTGTCTGTGCGTGTCTGTCTGTGTGTGTGTCTGCGTGTGTCTGTGTGTGTCTGTCTGTGTGTGTGCGTGTGTCTCTGTGTTTGCGCGTGTACCTCTGTGTGTGTGCGCGTGTCTGTGTGTGTGTGTCTGCGTGTGTCTGTGCGTGTCTGTCTGTGTGTGTGTGCGTGTGGGTCTGTGTTTGCGTGTGTGTGCGTGTGTCTGTGTGTGTGTGCGCGTGTCTGTGCGTGTCTGTCTGTGTGTGTGTGCGTCCGCGTGTGCTGATAAACCGCGCATCATCGCCGCCCTCCGTTGTCTCCGCCCTCTTCGGTGGGGTGAGCTCGGCGGGCGGAACCCCGCCGAGCTTGGCGTGACCCACAATCGAGGGGCGGTGGCAGACGCAGGGTTACGTGCGGCCATTCAACTCAAGCTGCGGGGAGAAGGGAGGGGAAGAGGGTGGTGGGGAAGGGAGAGACGGCACGGCGTGGGGAGAAGGGAGGGAGACGGGGGAAGCTTGTGCGAGGCAGGCAAGGCCACCCATCTACGTGCGATTTGCGACGTGGACCCGCGTCTCGATATGAGCAATGTTCGCGAAAAGTGAACACACTTTCCCGGTGTCGCATTTCGGAGGTCAACGTTTGACCCCCCCACACACACACACCGGTCCGTGTGATTGTGTGTGTGTGTGTTTAACAATGGTGGGGAGCGGTGGTGGAGTGATTAGCGCAGCTACCCGAGTTCGATTCCCGCTCACGGCCAAACACCGGTGACGATTATATGAACCGGTCCTGGGTCGACTAAGCCTTACATTAGTACCTGGTGCGGTGTGTAAACATCGCCACTGGGGAGACAAAGGCGGCCGGGCGTGGTGCTGGCCACCCACCCCCTCGTGTGCCGTTCCGGCCTTCATAGGTGCTCGCTAACAGCACTTGCCCCAACAGTCTGTTAAGGCTACACGGGGGGATCTTTGTTTAACGATGTGGATGGGGAATGGTGGAGTGTTCGCTTTTATTTAGCGGTGTCTTTTTTTAGTCGTCCCGTGTACACGTTATAGCCATTTTTGTCAGTCAGCTGCTGCTGGATGAGGGCTGACTCCTGATGGGGGTTACTTGACTCTAGTTCCAGTGGCGACGCTGTTCAGTGAGAGCTGGTGAAGGCGGGGAGCACAACACCAGAGTGCAATACCGTCCAGGAATTGATTCTGCTCCACTACAATCTGGTGACGGCGCCACAAGTCGGATGGCCATCTGTTCTGTCACCGGAGCACTGTCCAGGCGCAAACCCGCTTAGCTTACAATATCTCACGTGAGTTCAACCCCGGTGAAGCTTGGAGAGCTGCATGGAGCTCAAAAAGCACTCACAAACACCTTGTGAAAGACCCAAAGCAGAAGGTCCCTGGGTGTGATCTTCCACGAAGCACATGGTTCACCCTAAACCGCATCCACTGCAGAATCCATGGCAGATGCGAATACCTGATGCACAAATTCAAAATTAAAAACTCTGCAGCAGTGCGCGACTGTGGTCATCCAGAACAGACCGTACAACGTGTAACTACCCAATGCCCGATCCACAAATACAAAAGGAGACATGGCAGCGCCAAACGCCACTGCTCACATTCAGGTATCTGGCTTCACCACCTGATTGTGAAATTGTAGTTGTTGCTCTCCATCTACATCAGCACCATATGAAAGGAGAATTGGATAGGAAACATTTCGGGCGACTTATTCATTGACTTTTGCCCACCCTCCCACAACAATAATAATATTTACCATCATGGGAGAACAGCTAACGGGGTAGCACCAATGAACTGAGATAACCCTGATGCTGGTGCCACTTTGGGCTATCTTTGGCCACGTGTCGTCCTTGGCCCCCATGCAACCCACGGTCTTGATGCACTCCAAAAATATTTCATTTTTGGTTAGCCCCTATACGGTTACACATAGGGTAAACAAATCACTTGGCCCAGTGAAATGTGTTAAATTGTGTTTGAGTGACGCACAGTTAAGCAATGATAAATTCATTTACCAATGTTTAATTGTTAAGCGACGAATGCAGCCACGCATTTAATTTATGCATTTCACTGAGATATGTTGCGGCATCATTCCCCATGAAACTAACATCGTGGCTTGAAACCCATTTTGTGTTGGCCTCTTGTTTTATTTAAAAGCCTAAAAAGATAAATGACTTGGGGATGAATTTCCTCACAGAGGCAGTTTTGAAACTGCTTGGCATGAGGTTAAAGTTTCAGGGTCCGAGATCCCACACCGAATGTGTGAGAATTGCATCTTTGCAGAAAATATCTGGGGAAAAAAAAAGTGTACGGTACTGTACTTTGGGAATTGTATTTATTTTATCTCTGGCTCAGATTTAGAACTACAAACCACTTTAGCCTCCCCCCTCCCCCCCAACTAATTTGATTGATTATCGTGTAATATAATTTTGGTAGTACAAAGTAACCGTCGCAAGACGGCTTACGTTTGTCTAACCAATGCCGTAGATCTCGCAAGCTAAGCGGGGTTGAGCATGCACAATGTTTGGATGTGTGGGTGTTCAACCACCCACGAACTGGCTCTTGTAAGCACGCTACGCGGTGGACGGCAGTCCAGATATATCCAGATATACTGTACTTCTATGCCCCCCCCCCCCCCGCACTGAGCAGCGCGGTTGAAGTGTGGGACAATGAACCCCCTCGTGACCCCGCTCAGATGTGAGGGCCCCCCCTCAATCCAGCAGCAGAGTGACACAAATGACCTTTGCCGTTCGTCGTTGCACACATTGAGCGAGGCTTTAACGTTGTTCAGAAGCAGGTGAGTGAGAGTGAGAGAGACCCATCAAATAGGCGACAACAAAATCTAAAGTTGCGAGAGTTCAAAAAAAAACACAAGAGAGGGTTGGGGGGGAGGGGAATTACGATTATCGATTTTATATTGGCGGGACAACGCCGATTGCCTCCTATTTGTTTTTTCCTCAGCCCCTCGCGACCCGCATGGCCGTGTGGCCCACGGTGATCGGTGCGCACAGAGCGAAGCAACCTCGCCGCTGCGAGCTGGACAAGCGTGAGGGGAGGGGAGCTTTGAAGAGCGAGAGAGAGAGAGAGAGATGTGCGTCACTCAGGAGAATTAATTCTCATTTCGAACGAATTCTTTTAAAAAAAAAAATTCTCCTTCCAAGTTGTAAATATTTTTTTGGCGGAATAATTTTTTTTAATGATTTCTTATATTTTTTTCACATGTTTGTTTTTATTTATTCTTTTAAATATAACAAACAAAATGTTTGTAGGGGGCTGGGAACATCGCTCGCTCGCTTGCTTGCTCGCTCGCTCGTTTATTAATTTATTCGATTCGCCGAGCGGCGGCGGCGGTAGCGGCAGCGGCGGCGGCGGCGGCTCCGCGCGCAGGAGGCGAAGAAAAAGGAAGACGAGCGCGAGACGCTCACGCGACGCCGCCTCGGCCAATGGGGGCGCTCGCCCGGCTCGCGGCCGCGGGCCAATGGGCGCGCGCGGCGGCCTTGCGCGAGCTCCTCCCTCCGCCTATATAAGGCGGAGGCCCCGCTGGCCCCCACCTGGCGAGAAGCGGCAGCAAAAGCGGACGGCGAACCACCTCCGTTCACACTCTTATCTCTCTCTCTTCCCTTCTTTATTTTAACTTCTCTCTCGCTCTCCTCTTTCACTCTTGCTCCCCCCCCACCCACCACCTCTTACTCGCTCTTCTTCTTCTTCGTTCACTCTCATCGCCCACTCCACCGTCAGCCCGCTCTCGGCGGCAAGTAACGGGCAACTAAAAACAAATTTGGCCTCAAAAGCGCACGGGAGAGGAAATTTTAAACTGCAAGAGGGGGGAAAAAAATATCGTTGGGTAAATTCTTTATTTTATTGTAAACATAGAGGATTAAAAAAAATTTATAAAAAAATTTACTAAAGCAACGAACAGCAAAAAGCAACTAGCATAATAATCATTTCTCAATACTGTATTACCAGTACAGTACCTTAAGCCTAGTTTCAAACGGCTTGCGGCCACCATTAGCTACGCAACAATTCTAGCCAGAATAAATATTCATCATCGTCATCGAACGCTGCTGCCTTCTCAGCCAACAACAATAACGCAACCAGCCGAGGCCACAAACACCCCGTCTATCTCTTCTCTCCTCACCGCTGCCGGTCCATTGTTTTTTTGAGTCGAGAGCGAGGAGAAATCAGGTGCAGTCAACCAGCTCGGGTTGGTGGGGGGTTATTTTTGTGTGTGTTAAGTCAAAAGGAGATTTTTTTTTTTTTTTAAAAAAAAAGCACAATGGGTCTCAGGGAGCGCAAGTCGCCCTCGGAGACGGCGCTCGAATGCCAACAGGCAGTGGACAGGAGCGGACCGGAGTATGTGGACATCCTGGAGCTTCCCGACCAGGAGGTCAACAAGAAGGCATCTGCCACCGAGACCAGCAGCAGCACAAACGGCGGTCCTCCGTCCATCACCAGCAACACCGTCGATTCCTCCGTCTCCAAGGCGACGGACGACGAGGACCTGAGCAGCACCGTGACCTCCGCATCAGCTCCGCGTCGCGTCGTGTGGAGGAACGTGATTCTCATGAGCCTCCTGCACCTCGGAGCGCTCTACGGGCTGCTGCTGCTACCCGTCGCTCACCCCATCACCTGGGTCTGGAGTAAGTGTGACGACGTTAAACGCATTTATTTTTTTAATTTTATTTTTTTTTGCGTAAATTAATTTGTGTTTTACCACCGAGCTATAGAGTTGTTATTTTTTTTTTTGGGTTCAGAAGGGGCCCTTTCCCACAAATGGTAGGGGTCGGCGAAGTGGCTTATCGTGTGGACATTTCAAGCGACTCAGTATTCTCAACGCGTGAAAAATCCACGGGGAGAGAGACGTGCAAAACTCCGAATATTACAGGCGTCAGGATCGGGATCGAACCCACGACCTCTTGTATGCCAGGCTAGGTAGTTAACAGCTCGCCACCAATTCTGGGTCTTATAGCTGTTAGTAGTGAGGATAACGTGAGAGAGTGCTTGGGAATTCATTTTAAAAAGTGAGGTTTGGGTGTGGACTTTTCATGGCATAAAGTGCATTTAAATAAATTATAAGGAGAAAGATTAAATATTACTTAAAATATTTAGAGGTAGACTTTTGTCATGGATTATAGGACAGTTGAAAAAATACATAGAACATCTCTCCCAAAAGAGCTTAGAAATATATTTAAATAAAACCTCGGACTGGGCATGGCTTAATAGGCATTAATAAAAAAGAAACTCGGAATGAATATTAAGTTAACTCAAAGCTGTCGTGGCTTAGAAGGCATCTTATTTGTTTATTAATGTTCCATAAATTTAATTATGTATTACCAGCAGAACCCATCAAAGGCGGAAAAGGGTTGCTGCAGATAATTCAAGGGCATATAGCACTTCCGGAAATCAATAAATAATGGCGGTAAATTTCACAATATTTAATGACTATAATTATATTATAATAAATAATCGAACTTTTAAGAAAGCCTCTCACAGAGCATCATGCGATAGATGTACCGCCACTACCAACCAACCAACCCCGACGTTGGCTATATGATTTGCACAGTGGTGGATTCGGGCCCTCCGGCATTGGATGATGGGTTGGGCGGGAGAGATTGTTCGAGAACCAACACCGGCGCGCCTATTGACACCCCGTGCGGTAAAAACGGGAAGGCGGCAACAGCAGCAAGCAAGCAATCAGCATAGCGCCCGCGTTGGGTGCTGTTATAAACGCCCGCGCGCAGACTGCCACTGGTGTTTGACGTGTCGTGCATGGCATGGCTGTGGCGTTTCTTTCTTTCGTGAAATGTTTTTTTTGGATGGCTTGGGTTGGCCCTCGGCCCAACAACTAACCTGTGTCGTAGCCGTAAAACAAATTCGCCTCGGCTCGGTCATCGCAGAATGCAACGCAGAATTATTTGGGGGAATGTTGAAACATTTCCCACAACTCAATACATTTAATCACACGTGGTTTTTTTTTAAATAATTATTTCACGCAGATCCCATTTACAGTATTCACGCCGGAAAGAATCGCAGCGGCTGCGTTCCAAAACTTAATGGCTTATGTAACAAACAAAAAAAATGCGGTTGTGTAACACTGTACGTCTTGCAATGCAGAAATGTCCTTGGCAAACTTTCTATAGCCACGCTCCTGTTCAAACCGACCGTGCAGTAGTTTTGACCAGCTGCTCTTGGATGCTACGAAGACAGACCCCAAGTCCCTGTAACGACCCGCATTTATTATTCTAGGCCATGCCTCAACCTGCGCTGTTTTTCCTGTATTATTTATTGCAGAACGAATAATTTTAGATACGAGTTGATTTCCACTTGGTTATAGGCAGACAATGAACACCAAGATAGCCTAATTTTATTTGAGTGCCTTCCTGGCCGTGTTGCACATTTATTTGCCAGAAAAAAAGATTGGTGGCCCCTCGTGTGTTTAAGCAGAGGCACGTATTCTCTTATTTGTATTTCTTAGAACTGTTTGCAATTGGTCACCTCGACTTATTTTGGCCAGATTGGCAAGGGAATAACTAATGCGGTAAAACTCTACAGTTTTTTCAGCAGGCACGGAGAATACTTGACATGCAGAGAGCGGTGCTTCAAGCAGTCACCCACTCCCTCTGCCCCTAACCTCATGGGTGCTTTAGTCACACTGCTGTGTCGTCACTTGCTGTATTTGGTGTTCTGTACCGTTATATGTACAGTGAGCACTTTTCCAGTGGGAGCCCAAAGGGCCACCTCTCTACAACACTGTTGTGTGTGATATGTTCTGTATGCTTCATGCAGGGGTGCAGAATCTGACTTCATCTCGCCATGGCCACATGAGGCCTTGCGCTTAAAAATAACCCGCAAACAATATGAATCCATCGCCGTACGCAAGCATCTTGGCCACACTAACCGGGTTCTGGAGGGGAATATTTTTGACCTAATAACTCTTTATAAACCCAGCACCCCCTGGCCACCTGTTGAAGAGAACCCTACTGTTTTTTTTCGTTATTGAGTAAATGGAAAGGTGTGTGATTGTATGGCCGGCTCTAGGTATTCAAATGTCCTATTGGGCCCTTGGTAAGAAAAAAGGTCCCCCCCCCCACCTCTGATACGGCGTTTCGCATCACGCGCCGTTTTCATTCGGAGCGCCATCCGCTGTGGCCATGCTGCCCCGCCTAACCCGCGTTGCTGCGTGGCGTGGCGTGGCGTGCCGTGCGCAGCTTGGTTCTGCTTCACGGTGAGCGCGCTGGGCATCACTGCGGGCGCGCACCGCCTCTGGAGCCACCGCTCCTACAAGGCCTCCTTGCCGCTGCGGGCCCTTCTCGCCGTCGCCAACTCCATGGCTTTCCAGGTGAGCATGCGTTCATGCCGTCTCGCCACCTCCGCAAGCGACCGGCCATCTCCCTTCCGGCCATCTCTGCCACACCTCGTCATCGAATTTCATTCAGGGACTTCGCTATCACATTCCACTAATGAGCATCTTGGAGGTGGAGACTTAAGCATCGGGCAGCACGGTGATTCACTTTGTCACACCATCTCACACTTTCCATCTGCCCTCTGATTAACATCATTTGCTCAGCCCTAGCCAAGGAACCTTCATAATGAGCGGCTTTCAAATTCTACCCTTCCATACAACTTTCCCTCACAACCCCCCCCCACCGCACCTCCGATTAGCACGGTTGGCTACGTACGGTGCGAAATCTTTTCAACATAAATATATACGTACATGTACCCATCATTGCCCCTTTGTTGCTTACGTCATGATGTCTCAGCTGAATGGCCGTTAGGAGTTCAGGTTTGCCCTCGGAAGACATCCCTTGCCTCACTGACCCATCTTGCCAGACAGTCGCACTGCAACCCTGGATATTGACTTATTTACAATTGTTGACTCGTCACGTGGGTGGCACTTTAGTCCAGCTCAACATTTTGTTTTCCGCCCCCTGAACCCTTCAGCGATGGTGTTTACACCTTAAATGTTGCAAGTTAATTCTGTGAAGTTATCAGTTGGGGGATAGCAGATTTTAAAAAAAATCAGCAGTTTTGTTTGAGCATCACTGCCAGAGGGCAGGGTGACGTTTCACTTGTTGAGTGATAACGGGCTGTTTGTAGTTCTAGATAACGTTTTATTGCTCACTCACTTGTGCGGCAATTTATCCAGTGAAGAGGGCAAGTCTGGCTGTGGCTTGACCTGGAGTAACTTGACTGTGACATCATAAAAGTATGTTGTTAACAGCTGGTGCATTCCATTGCATCACATGTCTTACAAAGCAGTTTTTTGATGAGCTCATTAACAAACTGTCGAAAAAAATAATCTTCTGGTCCTTGACTATAGGCAGAGCTAGGAATATGATGGCAGGAGCAGTTAGGCAAATTGGATGTTTGGAATAGAATGACAGGAAAGCACTAGAATATATCAAGAGGAGAATGTTGAAATAGGTGGGACACGCGCAGGATGCTTCAAGGGCAGGTTGCTGAGACAGATATTGGGAGTGGTACCCAGAGTTGCGTGACCAAACCGAAGGAGCGTTGAAACCAGATGGTGGGATGAAGGTAAAAGCAGGCCTTGGAAGGCAAACGTCAACTTTGTAGCAGCTGTATGATCTAGGAGAAGGATGAAAGAAACGGTGATATTTTGTGGCACGGTAGCGAGATGTTAACTACTTCGCCTGGTATACAGGAGGGCATGGGTTCGATTCCGACCCAGACACATGTATTTTTGGAGTTTGCATGTTCTCCACCGGAATCACGTGGATTTTTTCCGGGTCCTCCGTGTTTTCCCTCCACATTTATAAACACGCGTTTAGAGTATTTGGCTGCTATAAATTTCCACGTGATAAGACACTTCGTTGAGCTATGATTTATGGGCAGGTTGCTTCTGAAAAATAACTATATAGGGAAGTGGACCTTACCTGGTAAAGTAAAAAAAATATTTAGTTTAGTAAATAGTTTATTTTGTGGCATCACTGGTTTTGACCTTGACAATGCCCACTGGATTCCTCACTCCAATGATTTTGAAGATACCATATGATTGCCTGTATTTGTGAAAACCTGCTGTTCAAACACTGGCGTGCTTTGCTTCATTTCTGTACTGGTTATTATCATCATCATCATCACGAACTCTAAAGACCAGATGAAGATAAACTCTCCAATGGGGTCTGGGGTGCAAAGGACAGTACAAAATGTCTTAGCACGGCAAAAAAAACCTGGCCAAAAGTTGTACTGCTAAACATAGCCTGTCATAATAGCTTGTTAAATCAATATTTGTGCTGCGTTGTTGTGAATGTAACTTATGAAACCGCCCACACCCACCACCGACTCTTAATTAGAATTTGCTTAGGTTGAGCCCTCACCATAATTGATCAATTCTCATTCTTTGCCCGTTCGAGACATGGCCTGAATTTGTCTCCTATCCACCTCTGTGTTATTTACCAAATTTGACATTGCAAATCACAATGATTCACCGTGCCTTTGAATTTCATAGCCGCACATTAATCAGTGGTAGGGGTAGGCCACCCAATTGTGAGCCTCGACATGATCGCAGAGCCATTGGCCGATCGTGCCCTGGTGGGTTTGTGCACCAACTCGTTAGTGGGCTTGAGTGATAATCAATCACCCTTGATATATCAATCAATGCTTCCTGCATTGATTGATATATTAATCAATCACCCTTGATCTGAAACATCAAATGCTTTTTTTTTGCCAGCTATTTCTCTGTACAAAACACACCAAGGTAAAGAAAATGCACAGGAAAAATAAACATGAGATTGTTAACCCCCCCATCCCCCGATAAATACATTTTCTCCTCTGAGATTGCATGCTCCCCTTTTGAGATTGCATGCTCCCCTATTAAACAAAAGCCCTTTTGTTAACATGTGGGAACCTGAGGCCGCGTGTGTGCCTGTGTGCACGTGCCTGCGTACATGCGCGCGTACGTTCGCATCTGTACAGTGCTGATGTGCGTGGGCGTGAGGGCAAGCGCTTGCCAGAATGGCGTAAGCAGCAGCATCGTGACCCGTTGCCAGGGCCGATGCACGTCCTCTTTATGGTACCAATCTATACTTGGCAAGCCGCCCTGGTACAGTTGTGCCATGGGGTGGTTACGTTAACCCATTGTACCGTGCCGCTATGAGACTGCGGCACCATCCCCCGTTGGGCATTATCGAGCCATTGTGCACCGCGCTGTGCTCAAGCGCTTTGTTGTACGTTGTGCCATCCTGTTTGTAATACGCTGCGCCGTGAATTGTGGGAAGAGCGAGGTGCGCTTCGCTGTGCTGTGGGTGCCAGAGGGTGTGCCGATTGGCATTGCTCTTTTTAATGCATTGTCCCCGGGGTGCGCGATTTAGCATCGGGTGTTGTAATAAATGGGTACTTTTTCTCCCTTACTAATCCAACCACATTCGCATCACCGATAGCCTATAAATACAGCGTACACACTGAATCACAGACACGAAAATCTATGCATACAAGCGACGGCTATTTCTGTCACTAACGATTTGCAACAGGCATTTTGTGTGTGGCGTGATCACTAGACCTTTCCAGGTAAAACATCAAATGTGGAAATTGTCAAAACCGTGCTGCTGCGCAGGGCCAATGCTACACACGGATCTGCATTTTTCTAGATGCCTCGCTTGTGCATGCATGTGTAAAACAAATCAAAAGCGAATTAAAAAATAATAACCAATACAATTGGGACTAAATACCGGAGCTGTGCACGCCGTATTGTGCTGCCAGAGAAAGCCCGGATGTCATTCGCTCCAGGCCACATTTGCCGAGTAGCTCGCTGGGGCGCACAGGCGCCTTGCAGCCTCACAAATTGGGGGGGGGACGCTTATGTTGAGCTGAGCTTTTACATGCCCGGTGCCTATCGTGAAGCGGTGGGAGCACGTCTCATTTTTATGAATATCGTCCAGAGTCAGGTGTTGCACAATAATCCGACGGTTCTTTATTTTTTTGTCCAATCGTTATCTCTGGGTTTCGGAGCACACAGGGCACCTCAGCAAATGTTGCTTACGTAACCAATACTGGACAAGTTCGAAATTAAAAGAAGGTTTTGTAAATAAACTACTTGGGTCAGATTCAATTTATTTTGTTTATACGGGGAGAAAGTCCGTGGTGGGGTTGGGTGGGTGGCTGGCATTTTGGAGAAAACAAAACAGCTGTCTGCCAAATCACACACAGACAGTTTCAGCACAAGTATTGCAAAATGCATCCATCCTCGTGATCCAACGATCTTTTTATCCACCTCACCATCCTCACTATCTGTGTCTTTGCGAACATTTTTTATCGCCGTTGCCATAATCGCGTTCATCGTTGAAGTCACGTCGGCTCGCGTTTGCTCGTGGTAATTTTTGTCCCACATTTCCTTCGTTGTTAGTGAGTGGGGCCTTCGCAGTACGCTTTGCGGCAGCCTCGGTGGAGAGCTGTTAACTCCCTCACCTGGTGTACAAGATTCATGGGTTCGATCCCAACCCCTGACGCCTGTGTATGTAGAGTTTGCATGTTCTCCCAATTGTCGTGGGGATTTTCCTCTGGGTCCCCCCGTTTGTCCCTCCACGTTTATAAACAACATGCGTTTTAGAGTATTTATTTGCTTTGCATTTCCATACGATAAAGCCACTTCGTTGAGCTATCATGGCCAAGTCGCTTCTGAAAAGTAGCGATATAGCTCAGGGGCCTTACCTGGTAAAATAAAAATAGTAATAGTTTTTTTTGTATAATTTCTTGCCTCAGTTGGGTGTTCAAGATGGAGGTGGCATTGGGACTTGTCTAGTGCCGATATTGCGCCTCACATTTCCCTTTCTTTGTAAAAATGCTTTCTTTCATGTACGTCGTTGCAACATCTCCCGCATCTGAAACTTTCTCTGCTTTTCTGCCGAGATGGTCGTCCGTGCCGCCATTAACTTCTTGGCTCGACTGCTGTAACTCCCTCTTCCAACGGTCTCTCTCGTGTCCACCCAACACAAACCCCAGATGGTCCAAGCTGCTGCTGCTGCCTGTCTTCCTAACCGTTCACGTGAACAATGATCACATCACCCCAATCCTTTTTGTTTGTTTTGATTCTACTAACTCCCAGTCCATGCCTGAGTTTTCCTATAACATAGCAAGCTTGGTCTTTAAAATGTCTCCACAACCTGCCCCCCCACCCCCTCATTTCTGCCTCTATACCTCCTCCTTCGATAGTTTCAGCCCTCTGACAAATCCCCTTTATCAAAACTGACAATTAATTACAAACAAATTATTTGGTTATCACTCAATTTTTTTCTATTCTGCCCCCTCAGTCTGGAACTCCCTTCCCCTCCCATCAATTTAACAGCCCCGGTGACAATCTCATGTATAGCACCTTCCTGCTCT